ACATGAACTGGAAGAATGGCGGTCAGAGTGGGTGTGTGTACCACGGTGGTGAGGAGTTATACGAGATGCAAGGGAAAGTAAGTATGGACTGCTCCAAAGCAATACTCATGATGCGCGCTTCTAGGTATTGGGGATGTTCGGCCTTAGCAATCTGCTACATGCTGACGTGTTCACCAAGACCCGGCAAATGGAAGCCGAGGTACGATAGCTTTGTGGGAGTTGCATCACTCGGACGACGAGTCACGACTACACGCTAGGTTATCGCAATGACGCTCAATCTGTTCAATGGTAAGCCGGATGAAGGAGCTTGTGGTTCCGTAACTAGCGGCGGAACTGAGTCAATTCTGCTGGCGATGAAGGCCTATAGGGACTGGGGAAGGTAAATCTCTGCTCACAGGCATTCGTCTTCTTACAAAGATCTCATCCGGCTGTGGTACGGTAGTACATAATGAGTTGTTGCTTGGTCTTCTTCAGAGCGGAGATGGGTATCACTGAGCCCAACATCGTCATACCTCGCAGTGCACATGCTGCTTTCATCAAAGCTGGACAGTATTTTGGCATAGACGTTCGGATAGCTCGGCTTAATGAGGTAGTATGGAAGATGCCTTCTTTATAGTGATTAGTCGCGTATATTGACTTTACTTTGTCCGGGTCATCAGATTATACTCTCATCTCGATAAGATGCTCTAGCTATCCCTCGATGGCAGTTGTGTTACGATTATTACACTGTCGTATAGTAGAGCTTGCCGGTTCGACCGACCATGGTGAATGTCTGACATTTCTGTTGTGCTCAGGAGATTATGGACGTTGATCTGAATCATGTCGAAACATTGGTGAACAAGAATACTGTCGCTATTGTGGGCAGCTGTCCGCAGTTTCCTCAAGGTAATTCAAATAATATCTCTGTCTCTGCTTTGCTGTGGTCGGGCGCAATAGCAGTGGTTGAAGTTATGTTGGGTTCAGGCGTGGTGGATAATATAGAAGGTTTGTCGAAGATTGCGTTGGATCACAAGACTAATCTCCACGTGGACGGCTGCTTGGGAGGATACCTCTTACCTTTTATGGAAGAGAACGGCTTCCCCATGCCAACGAGGGTAAGACATGCTGCTCTAATAGTCTCCCGAGAACTTTGGGCCTGTTTATCAGTTCGATTTCCGCGTCCCGGGCGTCACATCCATTTCCTGTGATACCCATAAATACGGATTTGCCCCTAAGGGCACCAGTGTGCTCATGTTCCGGTCGACTGACCTCCGCAAGTATCAGTATTCTACTTGCAGTGAATGGCCTGGTGGAATCTACGGCACTCCAACCATATGCGGGTCAAGGTAAACCAATTCGAACTAATGCTATGCACTCGCCAAGGGTTCACCATTCAGACCAGCAGCTGCCGTCGCAGCGACTTGGGCGACTTTGATGCACATCGGAAGAGATGGGTATAAAGAATCATGCAAGACAATTGGTGAGCGTGCCGATTGTACTGGGATTGTATGATGGACTCTATGTAGTGTCTGCTGCTAAGCACCTCGAGAAGGGAATCAACGACATAGAGGGAGTTCGCGTGTTGGGCCGTCCAAGCGTTTCGGTGGTGGCTATTACCTGCACTAATGGGGTTAATGACTATGACTTTGCAGAATGGTTGAAGAACAACACCAAGACCCATTGGTGGGGTGACCATAGTGGAAATTGCCTTAATGTTATTCCCTTAGGAACTTGAACATGCTGCAGATGCCATCGGGCGTTCATATATGCGTCACACGTCTGAACGCTGAGAAAATGGATGAACTGTTAACGGATATCGAGGCTGGTCTTAAGGCGGAGAAGGCGAAGTTAGACGCTGGTGTGAAGAGCGGTACGTATGGGTTCGATTCCTGGCCTGGACCTGTAGCATGATTAGACTGTGTTCACACTTCTGGTAGTGAGATAAGGGGTTCTGTTACTTGTTAGGGCATAGTGGTAATGCAGCCGTGTATGGTTCCGCAGCTTCGGTCCCGAAGGAGCTTGCCGACATCGTGGTGGCCAAGTGAGTTGAAGCGAGCTGTTGGTAGTCTCCTATGTTGTCGTTGTCACAGGTACCTGGATACTTGTTACAAGGCGTAGTAGCAGTGAATATGGACTCCTGATGTTTTCGAGTTATTATTCAGTTTGTTGAAATATGCTTTTTACATTCATCATCTATCCGCCGAGTTGTTTTTTGCTTCAAAGAACCATAACTGTTGAGTTATGTTCCAACTCGATATCAAGCATACCTTCCGAATGGGACCAACATGATGAACCTGGGGATGCCCTCAATATTGATGAACCTGGGGATGCCCTCGATATTGATGCACCTGAAGATGCTCTCGATAGGCTTGCTTGGATGGAGTCCTGTCATGAGACTCAACTTTCTTCAACACCAGTATTGTTGGCCTGTGTAGCTTACGCACACCAGTCCAACGATTGCCAATCAAGAGTAAAGTGAGGAAAACAGTATCTCGTGAAATCACACTGGTTGATAGTCCGATATCCTCACCGTCGTTGCAACATTGAGAATTTGGACCTTCATAGACTTCAGGCTCAACTTGACATATTCCTTGATTAAAGATTGCAACAATAGCCATTACGACTTGTCGGATGCACGTTTTATCGAAACTCGACAACCAAGTCATGAGACGAAAACTCCAGTGTGTACCTGACTGTGTACTGTTAACCTCTGAGCACTCCATAGTTGCTTGACCGACCTACTGTACCTCGCCGATGTGCGAAGGCGCCTTTTAATGAGATGTCAGAAGAGCATTCGGAACTTAGAGAACTCAGTACTCAACACGAAAGGCTTCGGAAAACTGTGTGCTCATCGCTGGTGTTACGATGGATGGGACGAAAAAAGTAATTATTCGGCATTAGGTCAGGGACTGCCAGATGGACTCTCCTGAGAGTCAGTCGTCCCACCGCATGTCGAAGCCGTACTAGCTCCACTCTCGATGCGAGGATAATTGAATGATGCCCCTCGAGGAATAAGTAGGATATCTCGGTACTTGTGCGTAATGTGCCCAGAACGTTGACGAGCTTCCCTACCGAGGGCTAGCATAGATATGTAAATATCTTCTGGTAACTCCAATGCGGAGTTGTCAATTTCAGTGGTCGACTCAGATTGGCTGCTATGTGCAGGAACGTCTGCGTCATTCTTTGGGACTTGTGGGAGACGAATTTTACAGGTATTCATGCAAGGGTACAGAAATCGGTGGGAAAAAAGCTACAAATGCACACATCTCAAGGCTCGACATTCGTGACGAATAAACCTGATCCACACTAGAGGAATGATAGCAGAATGTGATCCCGATTGGAGCGACATTCACTCAGATTCAAATCTTAGAAGGAAAACAGGGGCGCTCCTCAAAGATGATTGTTGAGAGGATCGTAGGAACGATAGAAGGCCAGCCCGCAATAGATGAACAGGACAGATCGGTATGAACCTGTGGGAAAAGAGTAGCAACTTGACAGAGTGGTTAGCTTGTAATGATTGATCAACATACATGCGTACACGTATACATTGTCGCGCTCTAACATCCCTAACAATTGTCAACTCAAGCTGTAGCCTCTTCTTGAACAACCCAACAGTGCCATCGGCGCTAGGATGTTTACAACACGCTATGGAGGTTTAAACATATCTTGATGCTACCGAAAGGAAACACCCAAGAAGTCCCCCTCAATCCGGAGTCCTTCTGCTCCAACCTTATCGATCAACTCGCTTACTCACGTTAAACGCTATCAATGAACAAGATTCCGCACAACCTTGTGCGGTGCAAACCTGTCACAAACCGTACACGGGTAGACCAACTATAAGAACATGAACAAGTCAAGACAGATACGATCACCGACAGATTCGAATCGTATCATACGATCACCGTTGGAGGCGGCTGCTTAGATGCTCATAATGGTACTTCCATACGCGACAAACCTGATGTAGATAAGAGACCGTAGAGCGTACAAAGTGGCTCTTAGTTGATAGGGGAGAGGTGGGCTACCTAGCTGGATAAAACGAGGCCATGCTGCTTGTGGCAGTCAGCCATTCGACGGAAATTATATGTAAGATCGTATATCAGGAGCTTTTGTGTGCGCTCACCCGAGTCAAAAACACTGGTCGCAAACATTCGAGGTAAAGATGAGTAGCAGGTAATGATCAATAACGCTCATCGTTTCTCTTGGCTAGCACGAGGCGGATCGAAAACCAGAGATCTTCTAACGGGATGTATGACATGTGCTGACCTTTTTCGAGCAAGATACTCCAGGAACAACATGGCGTGAAGGACGCCTTTCCTTGTCTCTACTGTCTGAAGTTTCATGTGGGGTTCTTGAAGTTCTTTATATGGTACTCCGCGTTGTTGTCTTCTACCGTGAATCACGGTCCGTGATATCGAGAGGAATGTGGCACTTGGCCGGGATGTACTGTCCAGGATAATAATGCTGTTGATGCCTTAGTGTTGACCTCCCAGCTTTAATGGGCTCGGCCTTTCACTGAGGTGTGGTATCATTCAATCGCCCTCCAAGGTGTGGAAGGGTTATCAAGAAGCTCATCAACGTGACTTCTCGTAGTAGTAGTGAATAGTAGGGCGATATGGAGGCTTTGGCGCTCAATTCTGTCTGTATATAGTCCCAGTGAATAGTAGAGCCCAGAGGGCTGTCACTATATTGCTGTAATGTTGGGGGAATCTCGACGGAATTTTTCACGGCGTGGATATCACTTTAGTGGGATGCGCGTTGAGGTAGTCTGAGGGAAATGTCTCTGCGACTTGTTCATTTCAGCTATCCTTATTGACCTCGTACCCCCGCGTCCGACGCTATGCAGGTCGCGTATGGTCTGTGGGACATGGGTTATAACACGCCCTGGCTGAGCGGATAACATTCGTATGTAGCACTCCTTCTAGGACTCCTGAATTAGGGCAGAAATCTTTGGGAGGAGCTAGTGCCTTGGGAATCATGATGAATCAATCGTCTATCGCATCTGAGTGTCTCCACCTGGAGCGAGGCTTTTAGTTGTGTGAGAATTTGTATTCATATGTTGACAAAGGTAAAACCATCGAGTGAAATATGCCTTCCGTCCCCCGCCCCCTTTAAACAGCACAACCGATCATCAATCATAATGGAGCTCAGTTCTTATCGTCGACTTCGGATTGACTGGGAGCACTGGATATCCTGGGAATTGAACCAGAGACTTATGAGTTCACTGAACATGCGCAGTGTCGTGCATGTATTACATTATCATCGCATCTATGACTATTAAAGTAGACTAGGAGATGATTTGGAAACCATTCAGGCCATGCTACTTGAAGCCTGAGATGGCATCTCTACAAGCTGCTCAGGGGTTAACAGTGGTAGGGATATGTACTCCCGAGTTGGCCCCGACTATAATCACTACTTCTAATGGAGTTGGGGGCGAGCGAACTATACCGCTGCGTCGTCGTCGGAGTCAACCAACACGAATGTAGGTCGACGGTGGAATGTATGCCAGGTTGGTAGTCGTGCAGGTCACGAAAATCTGTAATTCTGTTATTCGATGTGGAGTTCGCCTCACTCTTGTAGTCTGGGGATCTGTTGTGTAGTCTGTACACCTTCTTGATGCTCATCAGGTGGCCCGTCCAGTATGGCACTGAGATAGCGGCACTCTTCCTGGTCATGATAACCCTCTTGTATGGTCAGTATCAGCAGCAGCAGCAGCTTCCTATAGTCCAAAAGCCTTTCAGTGGGTTCTCCATTAGTGGCAGGGGCCTGAAGGAACTGGTGGATTACTAGTGGTAATATACGGGACATCAGTGCCACACCGATTCTCGCAGTTGAGCTAACGAGAATGGGGCGCTCAAGACCTCTATGTGGTACTGAATACTGTTGTAGTTGACCTCAATGTTCACTCTTGGTCATCACAAAGAGGTGTGGTACGACGGCCTCCGCGTTTGCCATCTAATATACCTCACTCGCCCACAATTCATCACCTGGGGGGGGCGCTCAGTTGTAGCTCGACAGTGGCTAGCTCGAGTGGAAGATGAATGTCTAAGAGTCGGTCTGTGGTGGGGCGGCCCCACTGGGGCCAGGGGCACACCATGTGGTAGCGACCTCATGCGGGAGAATGGTCAATAGAAGATGCCGATTCCAAAGCTATATCTTAATAAGGCTACGAGCCACGGTGTAGGGCTGCCTTTGGGGTTTCGAGATCAATTCGGAGTGCACGGTTATGGCTACCTGCATGATGCATCACAGTTCCTTGTGACGATCTCATCATCAGCTACTATTCATGTTGCGTTATTGGAGTATACTGGGGCACCGGCGTCTGAGGTTTTTTACATGGTACTCCGCAATGTAGTCGTCTACCATGATATCGAGAGGGATGTTGGCTCTCGGTCGAAGAGTTCTGGATGATAATGCTGTTGATGCCTTAGTGTTGACCTCACAGCTTTAATGGGCTCGGGCTTTCATTGAGGTGTGGTATCATTCAATCGCCCTCCAAGGTGTGGAAGGGTTGTCAAGAAGCTCATCAACGTGACTTCTCGTAGTAGTAGTAGTAAATAGTATGGTGATATTTCGTCAATTCTGTCTGTATATTGTTCCAGTGAATAGGGGAGTCCAGAGGGCTGTAACTATACGGCTATAATGTTGGGGGAATCTCGTGGATATGGCGTGGATATGAATATAGTGGAATTCGCGTTGAGGTAGTCTGTGGGAAATGTCTCTGCGACTTGTTCATCTCAGCTATCCTTATTGACCTCGTACTTGCATCTGACGCTGTGCAGGTCGTATATGGTCTGTGGGATGTCGGCTATAACACGCCGTGGCTGAGCGGATAGCATTCGTATGTAGGTCAGTGGAGCACTCCCTTGCTCGTTTTTGCTGAGTCATGTTGGAAAGTAGTTGGGAGGTACTCGGATCCACGGATGAACCGAAGGCATTCGGCTTCATCTGAGTCCTATCGTATGAGCACACATGGTTTGATTATGTGTATGTTCATGATAGGACTCAATGATAGACCATGAAAATGACCATGGAATAACCGTGATGATCATTCCATGGTCATCTCTTCTGCCCTACAACGTGCTCCAGGTGTAGTAGGACGTTCGATGCCCGTGCAGTTCAGGGATTTTATGCCGTCTTTGTTGAAAGTATCTTAACCCTTTCACAGGTGTTGATTACTGATCAGGCGTGTACCCAATGAAAAGCCTTCAAGTTCAAGGTCGCGTTGGAGTTGGTACTTATGTAGTCGTGGAGGGATTTGTTCGTGACACTGTGTTGGAAGTGCCATGAGAGGCCAGCGCACGCGTACGAGGAGTATCTTCCGCAGGAGGAAATATCCAAAACTGCCAGGAGCGCACTACAGGATACGCTAAGTGTTGTCGGGATCCTCCTCAACCAGATTATATTCACTATCGCCTCCATTCTGTCAACCAGTACATTATACTTTTGAGTACTACTATGAGCGGCCCACGGAGTGGTTCAGTTATCATCTGTTTGTTCCTCAGCCATCTCGTCCCTGCTCAACAGACGTGCGTCGAGACGGTGATTTATGCCATCATGTGGTGGTTATGTTCACTCGTGTGCCTCAGACTCCGCCTCCCCCCACTCAAGTTGATTGCTCCAACGCTAAGCTAGGCTTCTACGTTTGGCCACAGAGCCTATGGATGGACCCGTCCAACAGGGAGTTCATAGTGAGGCTAGTAGACTCTGTGTAGGACATGTGAACACCTCAGGACTTCGTGGCTCATCCAGCAGTACGCAGTCTTAGCTGTGGTGGTGACCTGTGGTTCAACATTGGGGATTACTCGAATGTTGGGAAGATCAAGAACACCTACCGGTTGTTCCCTTTCATACAGGAGCTTCGATCATCTATCAGACCTGGTGTGTCGGACCTCACTATCGTGGTTCTTCGAAGGTCTTTTCTGAGGTACCCAGCGCAGCTCTCGTGGTGTCATCTACCTGGCTTATGCGGACTTTACCGCCCATGATGAGCTGGCTCTGGTCGGTCTTGTCGTCCGCGATTCTGGTTACGGTGCTGTCTCTCGCAGTTAGAGTTCATAGACACCTTCTTCGAGTGGTTACTGTCACTGACCCCCGGAGAAATCCTAGAAGTCGCTCCTATCGGTATCTCTCTTGATGTTGAAGCCAGCCCGTCTGAGATGGTCTTTAATACCCTTGTCAAACTACGGTGAGCTACCCCATGGGCGTTTCTCCTTGTCGTGACCGCGGTCGCATCGGTCACTGCGACATGGACAGAGTAGTGGAGGCATACGTTCTCACTGGAGGTTCTTTCAATTGTCTTTTCTGCAGTGCTTACAAGTATACGTACCTCACTGACATCCCAGAAGACGCCTTTCTCATTCAGCACGTCGTTTCTGGTTTTCCCAGCCCACAGACCACTAAGTAGTGGTAAGATCTTGGTTCTGGTGTCGATATTTTATACTCGAGATACGTCATGGAGTTGGCCGACAGTGCTCTATTCCTTGTGTACCGTTCGTACATGTACGACACTAGCAGCATGAACTTACTACCAGGTTCGATCAGCAGTTCGTGCTCAGTCAAGCCCGCTTGAAGTTTGTCGTTTTCAGGTAACAACCTTTTGGGTCGGTTCCGTTGGTTCATCACACAGCAGTGTGAGGATTGTCTTTCGCCTGGGTATCAGCCTCGCGCGAAGATTACCGTCTTGGTTGAGGCTGACTGTAACTATGATTATCTAGACTGAGCACGGTTGAGTGGTGCCCTGTGTTGATCAGGTAATGTGTACGAGTACTGTGGCCTCATCTCGTTCTGCGCACAAAATGACGGTGGAATCAGCAACGTCGTGAGTACACTTGAGGTGTTCTGGAGCGAGCTGACCATATCTGGCTTGCTCACCCAGGAGAGGTATGCGTCTCAGTTTATGGTCAGTTATGGGAATCCCGCATTGTTGATGGTCTCAGGTTCGATGCTCTCATGAACAAGGATTCGCCTTACGGTATACATAACTGGTGAGAGGGCTGCATTCACTCATTCCTTATATGTGTCGGTTCTAGGGTCTGGTCGCGCTGTCTTTTCCCTTCAAACGTCTCGGGCAACTACTCTAACTGCGAGGCCAATTTCGAGACGCTCGCACAGGGATGTCGTGCTCGAAGCAATTTTGCTCGCTAATTTTGACATACAACAATCAAGGCTATTCACTTTTACCCTGTAATCGTCATCCCTTCCATCAGGGAAATTCCATTCATTGTAGAAATAGATTTGTTCTGTCGCCACCACATTTCTGGCAATACATTCATTTCCCCTCTACATGGTAATACACGAGGTAGGTAGCGATGTAGAAATCACGGTGCTCCACGGGATGTTTCCCACGACCGCTGCATTCGTGTTGTGTTGCTTCCACGGTTTGACGGAAAGGATGTTGCGTGTATGCAGCTCCTTGATAAACTTGTTCAAGTCGTCAGAACTGGGAGTTCGTGTGCTACTGTCAGTTTTCCTATTGTTGGATTATTCAACATACACTATTCCATAGAGTTAGTACTGTATCCGGAGCGAACAGGAGCGTGTCTCTGAAGATTCCCTAGTCAAAAGTAGCGCTGGTTTTGCTGTTGTAGAGCGTCTGTCGGTATGCATCACAACACACTGCAATCTTTGCAGTGGTAACGCGGAATAGTCGCGCACTCTTTAGGAGGAGCTCTCGGTTGTGTCGAATAGATCTCGCAACTGATACCCGATAGTTTGACAAAGCCGGCGAATGCGTGGGACTTTGAACTGACTCTTGTCAGGATCTTTACCTTACCATCCTCCTGCACATCCCTTGGCTTGCGTTTGGGAAACGAGATGAAAATCTGAGTAGTTTGCGGTTGTTGGACGTCTTTCATTCATCCTGTTATGTCGCAAGTGCAGCACTTGAAAGTGATGCAATACAACATTCTCGGTCGCCACTTTGCCTTCTCCAAGTACTTCAGCTATGCATGGCCTTACCTTGGTGGGTCGAAGGCCAAGAACTTTTGCCCAGCTGCGAAGGATGCCCCTCAACTCCCCACCCTGCTCGATTGGAACATGCGACTGCCAATGCTCGTGAAGACCTGCCTGGAGTCTAGTGCTGATATCCTCTGTCTCTGTGAGATGGATTCTTATGAAGATTTCCGTCAAGCTCTCGGCTCATACTATGACGGCTATTTCGCTCCACGTGCAGGAGGACGTGATGATGGGTCTGCTATCTTCTGGAGGAGATCTATCCTGAAATTGATGAGTGCGAAGACACTGCATTATACTGGAGGTAGCGAGCGGGTTGCAGCTATATGCCGTCTGCAGAACTTGTATGGTCAAACATTCACCGTCGTTGGAACTCATCTGTACTGGAAAGGTTCTTGTCCTACACAGAGCCATGAGGTCGATGAGCTCACAACGGAACTTAGAGCTATCCTTGACCGAGATGAGCCGGTCATTCTTTGTGGCGATCTGAACAACCATCGAGACAGCGACACCTTCATGCGGATCAGAGATTGTGGTATGGAGGACTGCTTTACCGCGGCAGGGCTAAAACCACCGAGATACACAAGCTTGGTACCTCCGTCCTACGTATTGAGCTCGCGGTCCGGCAGTTATAGGCTACTTCCTGGTCGAGAAGACGAGATCGACTATATTTTTGTAGGCGGTCAGTCATCCGACTTGACCTTCAAAGTCGTCGATGCAGTCGCGATTGACTCGTGTAACGACGAGACTGGAAATGGAGTTGTCACCGGTGCTGACTCCCGGGACTCCAGCGTAGCTGAGCGAGGAATTCCCAATATGAGTCACGCTAGCGATCATCTTCCTGTTATGTGCGAGGTTGAACTAACTGGCCCATAACACGGCTCTCCCTGAGGGGTATGTTAAATACTCTGGCCAGTTTTTATGCCAGCATTTGAGACCCTACCACCGTTGGGCAGTACACTTTTCTGTTACTAAATCATGCTGGTGTTCTTGAGTTGTTCAGTGTTACCGATCAGTCCACACATAACATTGTGCACGACGAGCACACTGAGCACTGGGTTGTACTCTGATGAGTCTCTGAGCTTCAGACGCCCAAGTCGGAAGCCATAACAATGAGATCTCATGGACTAGAGATGACTGATGAGAGCTGCTACCCACAATGGATAGATGGAGCGCAGGTGTTCGTACATACACACGCACGCTGGACCAACTCACGAATAACAACGACTTCCCACCGAGAACCCGACTGCAGGTATCGCTGCGTTCTTCGCTAGTGCCCAGAAAAGGGTTTTTCAGAAGATTGCAAAACACGAAGGGAAAAGCACAAAGATAACCCTGGAGAGTTGCTCAGTAGAACCTTCTCATCGATTGGAATTATCTTTCCTTGCTTTTTGGAATGTTGGATCTTAACTTCATCACATCAACTGGACTCAACGACTCGACACACGTGCGACTATTCCGATAATGATGATATACAAGCAATAACGCCGTAGCATTCAGTCATGAAGCATGTTCGGTGAGTTTCAGTTTGCCTAGTTGTAAATCAGTTGCAAGACGAGTATGTGCGAGTTGTACCTGGAGGAAATGCACAGACTCAGGAGTATTGTGATCGAGAGTTTCTTACCTCTTCAATGCTTATTGTCAAGTCCCTCAAAGTTTCACTGAAAGTACCAACTCCTTCTAATACGTCCGCCATATCTGCTCGCCACACACTCTGAGCCTGAAAAAACTCATTGACTTTCCTTGAAAGTCGATTGTGTTGCTGCCTCAGTCAGGGTCTCATTGAGCTCAGTGCTGACCAATTCCATTGAAGCTGCTGCATCAAATTTCAACTTCGTGTTCGTATCGCTGAACTTATCCATCTTGGTAAAAATATTCTCCTGGCAAGGACGGTCAGTGATCCTCACGGGACTGACTCCTGATCGACCTGCATCCGGGCTATCCGTTGCATCCTCTCTTCGGCTCGCTCTTCGTGATACGCGCTCTTATATCGGCGGATGATTTCAATTGCACGTCCAGAACCAATCAATTCGCAGAGCTCTGGCGATTCGTTTAGAAGCCGCTGAAGCTGGACCCTAGTTATCCTCTGAGAGTGGAAACGTAACGAGGGTGAGTAAACAAGCTGCTGCTGCTGCATCACACCGCGCACATCACAACGTTGAACCCGTTCCAGGAGCTTTTGGGCTTCTTGCCGTTCCTCCTCGAACTGTGCCCTGTCATCCGTGCCCTTCGATTGTTCTGTCATTCTTCTAGGCAGTCGCGCTGGGAGTCAGTATTGCTGCATATGATTCTGCGATTCACTCGCTCACAGAATATCGAGCCCCGAGGCGATTTGCTGAGCGCTAGATTTCGCAATGCAGCCTCATCCTCTCTAGCTGCGATGCTCTTCTCCAACTCGTCTTCGAGTTCACGTCTAAACTATCAGACAGGCAGGAGAGTCTCTCAACTCAATCCCACCGTTTTCGGTCCCAGGCAATAGCGAGGCATGCTGGCAGAGCCCGCAGTTCGATCCATTGATCATTCGGGCCACCCACATCCTCGTCGTCAGCGAGATCTCGGACGAGCGACACTCCCTTGAGCTTGTAGTAATATGTGAATCTGATCTTCATGCTGATCTCGGCTCGGACGATAAAAGCCTCTTTGGCACTGCGGCGAGTGGACTTACAAGAAAGCCATCATGGGGTTGCGTCTTTGAAGATTTCCTCTCAACACGCTGGGATCCGGGTTCTCCTCTAGAATACTGAGCTCGTTATAAACATCGAGCACCACTCCAAAGAAGAAAGGAACCAACAGTAAGGCCAGGAGTACTATGTAACTGCCACGTGACAATCTCGTCATGGAACATGAGTAGGACTAGACATACACCATGAATATGAGCTTCCCCATCTGGGGCTCTTCGGTGAGAATTCTTTGCATGATGGAATCCGTCGGCCCACGTACAAGCATGAACAGGAGTGCATAAAGACTACCGCGCATCCAAGTGAACTCGTCCACCTGGTGCGAGAGGATCGGTATCAGTATTAGTAGCGATTGATTACTATTGAGCTCAGTAGAACATGAAAGGGAAGCGCCAGGCCCACAAATAGGACGATACAGAGTAGCGCTAGTGCGGCCAGCTCGCATCTACCAGACGATTCACGCTGCGTTAAAGACTGGGCATCACATGCAGCGTTCTATGACTCTGACGAAGGGTCTGAAGGCGCTGAATATTGTCATGTACTTGAGTAGCTTGAGCCAGACAACGAGGATGAGCTGAGCGAAGATGTTGCGGCTGCTCATCAGAGGTTCGCGGAATATGGAGTATCTGGCTGGGTTCTTGCTCTTTCATATATGGATCGGCTCAGCGGACTGACGGCATGAAAGCTGTTTGTGGCAGTGGAAGGAGTTCAGGCCTTAGACTTGGCTCGCTATCTAACACTGATAGGAATTGCAGTCGTTTCGAGAGGTAGGAAAAGAAGAGGATGATGATGAGGAAGTCGACTATACTCCAGATGTACCTGCTCCGTGTCTATGGTAGGAGTGCGCTCGGGAATCTTACTTGAAATAGCGGAGGGAGCGCGCCTTGTACAAGTTGGTGACGAAGTACAAAGTGAAGATCGAAAACTGCCCGGTGATGACAATTTGATAGAAGAATACGGAGAGATACTTTCCACCATCGAGGATGACCTACGATGGTAGACGTCTCCGGTCTGAACGCTGCGCCACGCATTACGGGCAGCGAGATCTGATCGATTGGTAAAGGAGTGTGCTCTTGTTTGACCCCGACCGAACCATCCGGACCGAATCTGTCTCGAACAACATAGATTGTCAAATGGACGATCGTTTTACTCGAATAGTAGCCTAGTGCTAACGATCATATTGGTATTGGGGTTGAAGGTGGACAACTCTATAATGACAGCTCTGGTTGCCATGTCGAGCCACTCCCACTCCTGCAAGTCGTCGCCGACCTGATGGCGGGGAGCTGAAGAACTCTATCAATCGGAGCGGTCTAACTCGGAAGGCTTGCACGATGTCTTCCGGCAAGTCGAAGATGTATCCATCACCCGTGTACTCGTGTGAGTTTTTCCCTATCATGGGAGCTTTCTGAGTGGTCTCACTCTTGGATCGCCATCTGTTGAGCACGTTTGGAGGGCGTCAGCAATACAAAATTACACATAAGCGTCTCTGACGCGTTCGGGTGTTCCTATATTGGCTATTTTGAGCTTATATTGGTCACCATGGGACCACGACCCAAAACACACCTGTGATGGATTCACATGAGCAAGAGTCACGCGCCACAGAAACCACCGAATGAACAGGGAGAAGATCGTCCTGAATTGCACAGCCCTTCTGTGGAGTGACAGCGACTTGTCGTATTCTAATGGATCCCACTAGAATATTAGTTTTCGTATCCCCGACATAACGAGGCTTGAAAGCGATGGATTCTGATTGAGGAAGATACCGCTGAGATGAGTATGCTTATGACACACCCTCATTGGGTACGAATAGAGTGGACACATGCTCGGGCCAAACAGGGGTGGTGGCACTGTCGAGGCCTGAGCCGAGTCTTGAGTCGTCCTTAACCGTGAACCATACCTGAGAGATCCGAGTCGAGAGAAGTGCCGTTTGCCAGTGTAGACCCGGATGGAGCCATCTCATTGAGCCAACCAGCGGGAGGGGTCACGGATGGGGCCAATGACGGGTACTCTTCCATCGAAGATGAAGCATCGTCATCGGCTGATCTACTCCGTAATAGTGCCTAACAACTCAGAAAGGCATCTTCAATGACAAATTCGCTACAGCCTGGACGATGACTAATGACGATGGACATGTCAAATGATGAGCATTTTCCGCGGCTGACCTGCTGTAAGAGATCCTGCTCGCCGACAACGTTGAAAACCAGGGGAATAAGGGAGTCTTGGTACCTCCATGAGAGCATGTAGTTGTTCGTGAGCTAGTATGGCTACTACCAGTTCCAGAAGGAACTGATGTCTGTGACTTCATCTATTCTACATCCATCACGCTGGCTCTCATCTGAAGTGCACTGTCCCCAGTAAAGCTGTTGCTGTTGTCGGGATTCGAACTCCAGAGAGGCATCGATGTGGTTGTACCTCCAAAATGACATTTTTCACTGTAGCACTAACCTGTTACATGAATGCGGTCAGAGAGGTCACAATGGACAGGTAGAATATCATCTCGAGTAACATGAGCTTGAGATTTCTGTACTCTATTGAGCCAGCCTTGTACACGAACCGTACCTAGTTTGGATCCCGTACTGTACAAGCTCTGCGTTGCCGATATTGTCTCAACAACACAGCTCAGCTACAGCGAGCACAGAATACTCACAGGTATCTTTTCGTAGTGTTGCCAGAAAATGGTATCACCAAGAAGCTTATTGGTGTCTCGCTCGCGGGCAAATTCATCGTGTCTCGCATGGAAAGGGTTCTCGAGGGCCATCACCATGTGGAATTAAAGTACTAGCATCACGAACGCTCTCAATCTCATACATCTAAGAGGAAGCCAGTATAGTGTCGACTCACTACGTAACAGCACAAGGTCAATAACACTAGTTGATTATATACGTCTCGCCATCACTGAACCTCGATGCAAGTATGCATCATGTAGCTGCCGTCGGGCTTGCTATATAGGTCAGAGTATATCTACACGAATGTGCGAAGAGAGCGACATCGCCTATGGTCCCTCTAATAACGTAGTATTAGTAGAGACCCCAAACCCGAATTGATGATCACGTTCAGTTTAAACTAAACGCTTCACAAACCATCACGCGAGCCTCTTGGCCGATTCAATAGGGACCACAACGAGCGACTTTACAGAACGCTCGTGCATCTCGTTGCGCAACGCTTTAGTGATGAACACGCCTTCTACAAGTGTCATTCACTTCAAACACAAGCCGAATATATTGCTGTATCATAACGGGAATATAGATAGCAATAATAACCATATACAGTGCACGAACAGCATCGACCTCTTCTCG